GAGAGCAAACCCCATTCCATTCTAGCACTGAAGATGTTACCTAGCCAGGTAACGAAACGTTCGCAAGAAAACTATCACGCTCGGAGAACCCCAAGGGCTCCACAGTTCAACCCTGAGCTGCATACATTCTCTTCTAAAGATATATCCCCATAAACAGAATTAAGCGGACAGAATTTAAAAAGGGACCAGAATATCTTTGTTGCGAGTGACCTTTTTCAGAGGGCATGTAGTTAAGAACAGTCAAAGGTGAACATTCAGAATGAAATTAAGACTTTGCTACTAATTAAGTTTGCAAATGTGTTATGTAATGTGCAGATGTCATACGAACCTCTTACATAGCTTTAAAGGGGAATTGAACATACGGGGAATTGGCTTCTTGATGGCTGTTAGCATTATGGAAACCTCCCAATCAGACATGCTATTGAATATGTTATTGGGGGAGCAGGTAATGATAAAAGGATGTTGCCTTCAGCTCTCCTTATGGCTTTTCCTGGAGCAACTGCCTGGTTGTTAATGGACCACATCAACTATCTCAACCTGCTGTCCTCCACATGCATAGAGCTACAATTCAGATTTTTCAGCCAGTGGCCATATTAATGGAGACTTCTGGGAGTTCTAGAGAGCATCAGGTTGGGGAAGACTGAACTAATAGGACTTCTGTCCTTTAACTCTTCTCTGATTAATCAAGATATTCCACTGAAGCTCTTCTACCATGTGGGCAAAATTGGAAATAGATGGGAAGACAACACTATCTGTAATGAACCCATAAATGACACCAGCATACAGGAAAATGATTGCCCGTTGTACTGAAAATGCAAAAAGGACATTAAGTATTGTTCAGCTTGGATTATAATGCCCGTGGGACCTTTCTGTGGAACATTGGAAATGATTGCATGTAGAGAAATGACAGGTCCTTTCAGCAAGCAATTTAATAAGTCTAACTGTTAATAAATATCAAATGAGGAATAGTGAGAGAGTGAGTCAGAGGCATTTATTGGCTCTGTGTACCTCTAGCATTTCCTCAGCTGCAATGACTGTGATACAGTTGATTCCTCTGAGCAGGCACATGGCACCTCAAAGGTTGATTTTAACGTGAGGATGTTGTAGAAGGAGAGCTGTGTTAATTTACTGCATCTGCCTTTTAATAAAATGTGTTGGTTGGAAAAGGTGCTACCAGACTCCTCCTGATTTTTAACATGGAGGAGTTCCTTTGCCCATAAAACAACCTGCCTATAATCGATACTAGAGATTGGCTCAGCCTGAAGCTTTAGGTATGATCCTTTATGTCACAGCCGGCAGTCACTCAGAACAATTTCTTCACTTTCTCACATACAGATAATAGACCATAGACCAGTGTTTCTCAACCTTAGCAACTTTAAGATGGATGGACTTCGACTCCCAGAATTCCCCAGCCAGCCATCCTGGGAGTTGAAGTCCACTCGTCTTAAAGTTGCTAAGGTTGAGAAACACTGCAACAGACAAATGTATTATCTTGCAGGGACACAAAACTTCCACCCAGTTCTGTATTAATAGTTCCTGGGAAGCTGTGTGCATTGTCTGTTGAAAAAGCAAGATACAGTAGTAACTTAGCTGACATTTACTGATCACTGTCAGCAGGCTGGTATTTTGAGTTAAGAACTCCAGGGTTCAGCAATGTATGAGTCAGTACATAGAACTCTGTACTCCCCTCCCATAGAGAACTGCTAATAGACTTATCTTGATTTTGTGTTCCTAGGTCTTCATACAAATGACAAAAGGTGCAACTGACATGACCACAGCATGCAAACTGGCAATGTTATAACATTCCTGCTTTCCGCTGGCAAGGAAGATGAGCTTAGAGCAGGGGTTTGGATTGGCCTCATCCTGCCAAATGTCACCCAGATACTGACATTGGACTCCCAGAATTTCCAGCCTGCATGGCCTTTACAGAGTACCACATTGGGGAAGACAGGAGTAGAACATATGGGCTTGTAAGTCAACACACTAGTTTCTCAGCTGGGGAAAAAGCAGAGATGTTGTTGTCACGGGGATTACACCTATATTGCAGTTCCCAGGGGAGCAGGAAAAATGCCAATGATGTCGCCAAATGCATCAATCACCTTCCTGCTGATCTTGACTCTTTCGTCTCTATAAAATGCCTTTTCCTCTCTAGTGCTTCTGGATATAATGCTATTTTTTAAATGTGCAGGTGATGCTAGCTGAAATCCCAAAAGCAGAAGGGGTTTAAGATTCTGAATGGGGAGAGAGATGCATTACTTCTTTCAAAACCAGAATGAATGAAGCATGCACACCCATCAGGGTATTTCCTCTTAGGAAAAGCAATCATATGCAAAATGCAGAATTAAACTAATGGTTTTTTTGTTTTGAAAAACCGAATATTATTACCTAGATATTATTACATAATAGTATGTAAAATGAGAGATTTGTTGAAAACATTGCAATTTTTGAATTTATGCAAAATCCAGCCTCTTCTTTTGTCTTCTCTATGTTGTAAAATTTTGCTTTCCATATATGGTATTTATGCATTTATTCATATTTAATAGGGCTGTGGAATGCTTATGTCTCAATTCCAAAAAGTGGCTTCAGAGTGTAGGAGTACAAACATAGCATTTGTCTGCAGCCCTTTAATGTAACTGTGTCTTTTCCCTCAATCATGAAATTAAGATAACTAGTTCAGAAAGATCTAGCTGAAAATGTATTTTGCCAAAAAAATGAAAACAAAACTTAATTGATCATACACGATACAGATGGTATATTAATGTTAAGAGCATCATTCAAATACTTGTAGAATCAGAAGGGTTAGGGTTAGGGATAGCAGGGAAGGGATATGGGGTTTGTGGGATATGGGCAGAAGAGATCATTTGTTGTATTTTAAGAGGAGGTGATAAGTTACTAAAATTCTTTATTTCTGTACATTAACGCAAATAAAAAAGAAAGGGCAGAGGATGTGTGCTCAGACAGAGCACTGCATGTTTAAATATGGGGTTACATGTGATATACATATCTAACCAAGCTAAGAGTGTTAGCACAAATCAACACTTACAATGTAGGAAGAAAGTATTTTCACAAGAGGATAAGAAGCAGTGTGAGGGAATCCCCTCCCAAACTTTCTTAAGAAATTCCTTTGTATTGGAAACTTTTTGTGGACGGCAACTTAAAGTTCCATAAACCCAAACTCATCCAAAGACTCAAATCTGAGATATTTTCAACTCTGCATATTCTGGCAACTTCACCCACCACTGACCACACCACTCAGAAGCCCTCCAATGACTTATTTATCTTTAAATTAAACTTAACTGCAATAAAGTTATTTGCATCTGATCTAGAGAAACCCATTCTTCCCCATGCAAGCCCCCTCCTTCTAAGATCCAGTTCCAACCCAATTCTCTGTGGTCCAAGTTTGACTCATTGTTTAACAACTGCCTTGTAACTTTTTGTATAAAACATTTTGGTATCGCAAAAAAGTACCCAAATTTTTCATGATTTCTAGTGTTTTTTATTTTTTCCCATTTTATTGTTTTTCCTTCTTTCTTTTTTAGTCTGTTCTGTTTAACCTTTAGCCATATAACTTAACAGTCTATATAAAATGAGTTTTGTCCTTTAACAACGTTACTTGTACTAATTGAATCATTAATTGTATTGGTTTAAAAAATTAATGAAATCACTACCTTTCAAAAGAAAACTACAGCAACAAAAAAAGACCCAATTGCTACATATTTTATACAAGGTTGCTTTTTAAAAACAATCCTCAACCATTAACTACAAAAATACGTCCACAGAAAGGGAACAGAGTCCAGTTAAGTTATAAAACCAAGACACCAATATTTTAATGATATTATTGCACTGCATGATAAAACAAAGAGAGATGGATGAGTGGGCATCACATTTATTAATACAACTCATTAAAAAACAGCTTGTTTTTGATTTCGCTCTTTGTAGGTCCCTTCATACAAATCTAGCAAGCCTTGATAGCAATTTACTTTAAAAAACAGACAAATTACAGAAATTACCATGAAAATGCAAAGCAAAAAGTATTTCTGAGTAGTTAAACAAAATACACAGATTATTTGCATTTTTAAGGTGACTTCTCTAAGGCCACAAAGGGATTATAAAATGCCAAGAATAAAACTGAAAGGGCAAGTGTTGGATTCTTAAACTAGAATGTGATCTTGTGTAAAGTTTTTACACTACAAATTGTATTTCCCAGTCCCATCTGAGTGGAGTTATTGCAGTTACAAAGGGTTATGCCAACAGCACAGATATAATAAAAGGTTTTAGGTCAAACCTTTCCCCATTTCCATGAACGTACCTTGTTCCAATATTATAGCTTATACATAGCTCAGGGTTCAACTGTTGGGTTCTTGGGGTTCACTGAGCTTGGTGGTTTTCTTGCAAACATTTCAATACCAGCTAGGTAACATCACTGGTGCATGTGGCCATTCTTCCATGCGCTGATTATGTTACCTAGCCTACTAATGAAACCTCTGCATGAAAACCACCTAGCTCAATTAACGCCAAGAACCCAAAAGTACTGAAGAGAGTAAGGAAGATGACCTTGACGGAGATATGCAAGATCCATTGCCAGGGCAATGAATGGTAAAACACATTTTAAGTCCACAACAGACAGATAATATTTGAAAGAGGCTCAGACAGAAAGCTTCCTAATTCACTGAACTATAAGTAGTAGGAGAAGGTACAACATAAGCAGACTTGCAAGGTTCTGCTATTATAGTTTTAGCTTTCCTGTGGAGTTGATCTCTTGGTCTGGGCTACTAGTGGGGTTAAGTATCTTGTATCATTCTTTTACTTAGAGCAGTCCTATTCTTATTTCAAGATTGTCTAAATCCTATACCAAGGAAACTTTTGCCCCTTTCTTCAAAGCATAGGGAAGCAGCAATTTCAGGCAAAATATCCAAGCACGGGACCATACTTCATTATAATAAAGCTACTTTGAGCTGATGGTCTTCATCCATCCATCCATCCAAATGACATTACCAAATGGTTACTGATGACTGAGTTTTCACATTATACTATGCTATGGTTCTATTAGCTGTGGCTTACTGACTGAAATCCTGGCTTCACAATGTACAAAACCAAAATCAAACAGTACGTATCTTGCCTTAGTGTGATGTGTGAACCCAGTCAATGATAGGTCTTTCACTGTTGCCAATTTGAATGCTTATACCATTTGTCAGATAACCAATCCACAGTGAACACTAGGTCTCTGCAGTGTTACAGATACAAAGGCAAAAAAACCCATTTCAGGATGTACAGGAAACACTTCTTTTCCTATGACCGTGTGGCAACTCTGGAGGCCAAGTGTGCAATCCAGGAAAAGATGCAGCTGCTTTAAGGAGTTTCAAACTGGAATTATGTTCATGCCCTGGCATGCTCTGAAGCATCTTTTTGCCTCTGAATCCGAACCACTGCACAGCCTTAGCGGATAGATCAATACAGTTGGATCCATGGTTGGTCAAACTCTGAGTTAGTTGGCTTGCCTGATGTTGTGAGAGACTGAGGTGACCCCCACATGTGCTGTCATTAAAAAAAAAAAAAGCCACACCAGACAACTGCAAAGATGATATACTTTGCCTTGTTGATTATATGCTATGAAACCTAAGCTATGATTGCAAGTTCTGTAAAACCTGTTACCCTTATTACAGGCAATTCAAAAATCATGAGGGTTTAAGCTGTTGATATCTAGGCAAATGAAATTGCACATTACTGGCACAATATGTTTAAAAATGGCCGTGTCAAATATACCATATCATCATGTGCTTTATAACATTTTATTAATAAAGGAACTCCTCTATAAATATTAAATTGAAAAAGCTGCAAAGGATGCCATTCTTTTTAAAATCATCCTCCAGTTATTTTACTTCTATAGCCTTCTTAGGCTGCAAATCTAAATCAGTACAATAAAACCTGGAATTGACTGATGGTTAAGGGAACTTGCAAACAGAGTGCCTTACTTATGCAGCCTAGCAGGAGCATAAATACTCACTCAAGCTAGGGTGGACATCTACAGGCTTCCCCGCCCCCCATTCTTATTACATAAAAGGTAGTCCTTGGTTAACAACCACTCATTCAGTGACCATTCAAAGTTACAATGACACTGAATGAGGAGACTTATGACCAATCCTCGAAGTTCTGGCCATTGCAGTGTTCCTGCAGTCACAGGATCGTGATTTGGGCACTTAGCAACCGGTTTGCAATTACATTACAGTGTCCTGCGGCCACAATTGCCATTTGTGATCTTCACTGCCGACTTCTGGCAAGCAAAGTCAATGGGGAAACCAGCAGGAAGTCGCAAATGGCAATCATGTGACATCGTGCTTAATGACTACGTGGGATTCGCTTAACAACTGCAACTGGAACTGTTGCAACTGCTGTTGAAAGTCAACAGTGATGTCACACTTTACAACTGTGTTGCTTAGCAGTGGAGTTGCCAGTCCCAATTACCATTGTTAATCGAGGATTACTTGTACAAGTGCAAGGCACTAAATCAGATAATATCATTGTGGGCTTTGATTTTCAAGCTGGTTTGCTCAAGCAAAGCAACTTGAATACCACTCTTGCAGAAATGTGTATGTCACCACCTTAATCAAAACTATTTTTAAACCCTTTGTTAGAACCATATGTCTGTGAATTCATTCACAAGAATGGACCGTTGTACACCAAATAATCAGTAACTGTTTGAACTACTATCAGGGCAGTTGGGAATTATCTGAATCATCTGGAGGTGGGTAGGAATTGTGTCAGTAGGTTCCTTGCATGAAAGGTGTAATAAAAACTAGCATTCTCAGTGTAGTCAAGATTCATTGCTACTAAACTATTCTCCAAACTATTTTCAAAATAAGATCAATTTTTGTTACTGATGAGAAAGGGTACACATATTCCATGAAGCTCCAACCACTTCCCTCTCAGCAATTCTGCCACTATTCTTGGTTAGTAGCAACTGTGTGAACATGAAGAAAGTAAAACAACATTTGTTAACAAAACAGCCAAGAGAATCTTACCTTCCCTAACCTGGTTTTAAACTGTAATTTATGTAACCTCCAGCCAACATGTCCAAAAGACTTGTTTGGCTGACAATTTGGGGAGCTGAACCAGGTTGGGGAAGATGGACATAATAAAAACATTTCTCAGTGTGACTCAGTGAAGGTAACTGGGCTGGCCCACAAGATGCTTTTAAAGACTGCAACATGAAGAGGACAAGAACAAATGCGACATGGTGCGCACACGTCACGTAATATTATCTGCAGACAAGGGGACATTTCAAATATATTAGCATCTCTTCATATAATTATGCTGATGAGTTGTCTGAGGCAATACCAGGTTCTTTTATGATTCTCGTTTCAGAAGCACATATGCCCCCATGACAGCCAGGAGAGCGTACTGTGAAAAAACAAACACATGGAACATTACTGAGTGCAGGCACCACATTCCACAGCACGTCTCATCAACTGCATGTTTGCGCAACTGGCTAGCCTTCCTCTGCTTCGCCCTGTCAGGATTGGCTGGGGATGTAGCTAAGCACATCTAGCAAGCAGTAGACTGGAATAAGCTGAATTAAAATACTGATGTAGTTTATGAAAAGCAAACAGTTGCCTATAAAGATGCTCCAGCAAACATGGATTTCCTTACACACAAAAGAAGTTACATTTGTTTCTTTCCTTTTTATAGCATTGTTATAAATATTGATACATTATATTATTTCAGTACAATGAAAGGTTACAGGTATTCCTGTTCCAAGTTACAAAGGCGCTGAACGAATGGTGGTTATGATCGATCCTTGGAGTTCCAGTCATTCCAGCACCCCCGCAATCACACAATCGTGATCTGGGTGCTTGGCAATGCATTTGCACTTAGGACCGGTTGCCAAATGCCCCATGATCATGTGATCACCATCTGCAACCTTCCTGCTGGCTTCCCAAGAAAGTCAGTGGGGAATCCTCCCCAGCCCCCCTGCGCTCATGCCGTGCTGGCCACTTGCGCATCCCCGGGCACCTTCCCCGACCTGCATCCCCTGCCCAACTTGTGCCTCCTGTGCACCCTCGCCTGCCTCTCACGCACCACTCACACCCTTGATGATCTGTGCCACATCCCCATGCACCCTCCCCGACCCATGTGGTGCCTCTTGCACACCCCCACACCCTTCTGTACCCTCCCTTCCCTTTGCCTCTCACGCACCCTTCCCGACCCTCTGTGCACCTCTCGTGCACTCCCTTGCACCCTTGCACACTCTCCCTGACCCTGCCATGCACCCCCCCTTGCTCCCTCTCCCACGCAGCAGCAGCCACTTACCTGCCTGCGGGCCTGGGACTTGCAACTTCCTGCTGGCTTTCCCAATGACTTTAGTTGTGGGAAGTCGGCAGGAAGTTGCCTCACCTAACAACCATGGGATTCAGTTAAAGACGGCAACCAGAACTGCAGGGATTTCCATTGCTAAGCGATGCAGTCATCACACTTTACAACTGCATCGCTTAGCAACAGATATTCCGGTCCCAATTGCCATTGTAAGTCAAGGACTACCTGTACTGACATTCTATTATTTAAATAGCGTGGAGTATTGAAAACAAAGAAGAAAAAATATTGTATCAATGTTAACTACAATTTAGGATTTCATTTTTTATTTATTAATTTATTTTTATCCAGAGTTGAGTCGTTGCTTTTTGTTTTTTCCTTTGAGTCAGTGTTGACTCGGGGCGACTGCCTGGACTAGTCCCTGCAGGTTTCTTGGCAAGGTTTTTTGGTAGTGGTTTGCCCTTCCTTTTCTCC